TGTGTTAATGGCATAAATTCCGAAATCATTTATTTTTGTCATCTTCATCCAAGTTGGGGAGGTTTGAGGTTTTGGGTGTATTGCTTCCGTTTGTTTAATGTTTTAGATTAAAGGACAGAAACGATCGCCAGAAAATGTAAGAAGTATTTAATTAGTTGTTAGATTAAATTCATAATTTACCTTCATTCATCTTCCAACAACAGCTTATTTAGCCCTGAGTTCAATTTTCTCGATTTTTTTTTTAAAAAAAATTTTGTTACAAAAGAGAGAGACTTATCCATTCCTTACACTTGAGATGACAAGTTCTCTATTTTTCCTCTAAAAGGAGGAGGACTTATCACTTTAATTATTTTAATTTAGGTGTGGCCACGGTTCAAATTTAAATCAGAATTAGACTGGAATCAAGCTGGCAGTTTGTTAAACCCAAATTGAAATCAGATTTTGAAACCATAATCATGATTAAAGGTTCATATTCATATTCTCCAAAATTTTGAACTAAAATCGTCTAAAAAAACACTTATTACATAAATCTATATAAGCAATTTAGAGTTTAATATCAATAGTCGGTGCACAACACTAACAGTCTCAGTTCTAATCCAACAATCCAACAATCCATTATCTCATCTCATTAGTAAGTCTAGGCACATAACTAATCTAAATCCGAGACCAATCCAATTTGATCAATTGTGAGGTATATTTTCATCATTTTTTCTTTTTCCTTCGTATGATAATGCAAAAAGTTTTTTTTTTTTTTTTGTTTTTTCCATTCATCGTCATTTTTTCTTAGAATCAATTTTATAACAATTAATAATTGTTTATACATAACTAAAATCATTGGAAGTGAAACCAGAAGCAACCAAAATAAAATCGAACAAGAGCCAAAGGTTGATATAATTCAGAAAACACCAATTTTTTTTAGAAACTTTGTAACTATAAAAGCCGATTCAGGCTCCGCCTTTTAAAAGAAAGGAAAATGTCGATTTTTAAATCCAAACCAACAATTTTGAAATTGCGACCATATATACTTTAACTTATCCATTCCATTGCATTTTTAGCCGAAACTATTTTTTAACTTATCCATATCCAGTTTCTTTATTTTTTTTTGACCAAATTCCAATTACTTTTTTGGAAATGAAAATAAATTCACCCTAACTCGAGAAAATTATATATATACTCCAAAATTTCATAACCTTTACGATCAACTAATTATCCGTTCCCCAACACGCGCACACACGTATACGTTTAAAAGTCCATAGCTTTCCTAACAAAGACGGGATTTAATGCATCCCATCAGATTCAAACCGAGACAATAATGTGCCTCAATTAAGTGCTAATATGGAGCATATCGATTGACTTTTGGTGATCCTAATCAGCAGCATCGCACAGCAACTGGGTTGTAATCACCTTTTTAGCCATGATAAATCAATTACAGATTCAGAATTTGACTAAACTCGAGATTCACAATTAAGGTGTAACCGCCCATTCGAAAAAAAAAAAATATTATGTATGGAGAAAGACAAATTCGGAAGTTTCAGACTGTATGGATTATGGTATGTGTTGATGATACAGAGAATTACTAAAAGGGAAATCAAGAAAAGCTGCAGAAAAATTAGAGTGATATGCATCGAAAAGACGAAAATCAAGAAACGCTACGCTTTCCGGGGCGATCGGCACCCTTGAGAGTCTTGTCGATGAGTTGGCGAGCTTTTCTACTGCGGATCTCCACTTTAACACTTGCACTCTTGTCCATCTTTACGTATGGCTTCTTTTTCTTCTTCAAATTCAGTGCTTTCACCTTGGACTTTATGGACTCCACCAAGTGCTCCAATTGGTTAGCCATTTCTGCACCTTAAACTACTAAAAGAAAGAAAGACCCTCTCTGTCTCTGTCTATTCTTTTTTTTTTTTTTTTTACCTTACTGCTGCTGCTACTACTGCTACTGCTAGAGCTATTGCATTCTTGGTTTATTGATGAAGGAAAGGGATGGGATCAATTTCGTTGTCACATAGGATTGATCACTACAACGAGGCTGTTGCTGCGATTGATGTTCAAGTTGATGATCTTTTGCGTATTTCAAGGAAATAAAAATGGCCCAAGATTGATTGTGAGAGAGAGAGGGGCTGGTGGGATGGGAGAATGGGAGAGAGCAGCAAAATTTGTTTTAGTTGGATTGGAAGACCATTAGTAAGAAGGCGTCAGCTATTTATTATGGTTCCGTCTCTGGCTGCTCCGCTTCTGGTGCCGTGCGAGGTTTTGGGTTCACATTTACCGGGGGGCGTTCAAGAAATTAGTTTGAGCGTGCTAATTTTCAAAGAAACGCGATTATTCACGGGAGTTTTTTTTTTTCTGATAAAACACAAAGCCAATATATGAGTAATTTATTTAATCTATGAGTTTTTAGACGGGTGCCAAAATACACCTTACAGAGTGATGGCTCTCCAAAAGAAGTAAAAAAAAAAAAAAAAATTGTAAAAAAATGAGACCAAGACCAACATTGAGGATCGCACAACTAAGTCAAAACGCCTGCAATTTTACCATCCATGCTATGGCCAAGTTTGATAATTTTCGATTTTCATTCATTTGTTTCCTTACATGGAGGCGAGACAAGGTCCATCAAACCCAGTTACTGCGAACATTTTCAGCCACAAAACATATAAATTTGTTCAAGCATTTAGTCAGGTTTTCTCACTCAAAACCTGTTCAAGCTTTGAGCCCACAAACAGTCGAGATATGGGTCATACTCATACCGCCTTTAATGTTGACTCCAATATAACCATTTCTGTTAACATATGCAGTCATCATCAAAATTTTCACTAAAAACTTTCAGAAACATTTTAACCATTTTTTTTTTATTAGGACCAAAGGATTTGAATTACGTCTATTGAATGCAAAGCTTCAGCACATATCAGCCGTTACCGATGAGTCAGCTCGTCGTACCTTCAAAACTCGGGATGTTACTGTGAATCTTTCAAAATTTGACACTAGAATTAAATCTCTTGCCCCGACGATAAGAAAAGGAAAATGCGTCCATTTTATGTTTCATCATAAGTTGACAAACAATTGGATATTAACACCTGGGAAGATTCAATGGCGCACTAAACATTTGCCGACTTATTCTGTGAGCAGCTTCAAAGTCGAAGCGAACATAACTACAGCAAAACGAAATAAGTGAATCTCTATACTACTTGTGTATCCTTGGAGGCGGGATACACGGACGAAGAGAGATTAATTTGATAAAATTGAGATACTTCCGGTATTTGAAGGAAAAAAAAAAATGAATCCGCCCCGGTTAAGCTTGTTCTTCTTATTCCACTTGCAATATAGTGTGTGATTTACGAAACCTGCCAACAACACAGTGAGTGTGTTTGAATTGAGATGATTTGAGATAAAATAATTTATTTCACAAATTCTAATAATTTTTTTATCTTCACAGTTACTTTTTTTATCTCGCATACATCACATCACAAAAAGTACTACAGTAATTATCTCAAATAAACTTCTATCCAAACAAACTCAGTATCTTTATCAACATTGACCTCTATCCTTCTCTTTTTGCGTATACAGGATTAAACCAAGCGATATATCTGTAACACGGGGCCTAAATATCGAAAGCATTCAATAATATTCCGGAAAAAAAAGGGAAAACAACAAGAAACAGACAAAATATGCTACATCCGTATAGCAACTTCTGACATTGAGGCTCTGGTCGGCCTTGGCCTATTAAGAGAGGCACCCAAAATAGCAACTAGTCAAAAATCATACTGTAACTAGTCTTCCTTTTATGCTTTACGGATACGTAAATTTCACTTTCCAATGTAATTCGTACAAGCACTAAGCAGGATCGGAGCACAAATAGGGAATAAGCGTGAATTTTACAGGGCAGGTAAAGAACCACCCAGGGCCAGGAAGGGTGGATTACTGGAAAGATACCGATTTCAAGAACCACCCTGGGGTTTGTTTGGATTGGATTTTATTTTTTCAAATTTATTTGCTTACATCATCATTACAATTTCTAATACACCTTTTTACCTTCCCAATTACCTTTTTATCTCACATATATCACATCACAAAAAGTGTTACGGTAAAAATATCTCTAATAATTCACAATCCAAACAGACACCCAGAATCGGATTGTTGTGTAGGCTTTGTAGACATACAAAACTTTTAAGCCAGATGCGAGGAAAGTCAGCCAGCCTAACACGACCATTTACAAAACCATGGGACATCCTAGACAGACTGGCTCATCATGTCCTTTATCACACGTACCAAGGAGGCCATGACGACCTTAAATCTTGCACTAAGAAGACACTCCCTTTTTCATATGGAACTTGATTTTATGTCATTAAGACGTGCCTTTACCAAATCATGGGGAGGCCGCGGATACGGCATACTAAATAACTATGGAAAGTGATGATGAATTCCCATAAAGTCAAGAGTTACTCCAACCAACAGGTTTTTATCCAAGCACAATAAAAACGCTTAAAAAATTAAAAGGAAAGAAACCTTTGAGCAAAAGCAACACGATTTCTTTTTGCAAGGCCGAGATGGCAAAGTTCTCCACGCTTAACCATTATAAATAAGACGTACAATTGCTGCATGTAAACAGAAATATATTATTGTAGCCTACGGGAACAAGAGGTCAGACAGAGTTCAACAAAATCGCAATACATACATGCATACATACAATATGTCCACATACCCACGCATACATATTCTATGGATGTGTTAAGACAAGCCAAACCTGCCTCAGATGCAGCAACACGAGAAACACCTCCGTTGACTTTACTGTTGCTAATATGACCATTGGTTAGATAGTCTGTAACTTATTTTGAACCGTTAACCTAAGAAATTACTCACAAAATTCAATTGACCGAGGTACCAAAAAAGCTAGAGTGAACAATCCCCATAGACTTGCTTAATCGAATCTTGTTTGATTTACCAAAAAGATCACAGCAACAAGGGAAGAATTGCTTAAAAATCAATGGGCAGACTCTTAGAGATTTTTTTTTTTTTGAGTTGGGGGGAGAGGGGTGGTTAGGTTTAAAAATGCTTCTAAATTTAGATTGAAAGAGATTTAGTGCTTCTGTTGCTCTACTGAAGATCATCCAGACGATACACCATTTCCTAGACCTACTGGAAGTCTGGAACAAACTGTAAATGAGAAATGTAAAATCAAAATCAAACACTCCAGTGATCAGTCAAGATTGCAGATGAAAAGAGAAGTGTTTACCTAAAAAGCAACCAAATGAAACGCTGAAGGAAACGGTACTCAGCTCAAAAGAAAGAACAAAAATACTAGGAGGGGGGAGGGGGGGGGGACGCGGGGAACTCTTGCCTGAAAATCTAGCTGATTATTTTAATTTTCCGGAGAGGTCGACCATAACATTAAAGTTGACAAAAAAGCAATAGTAGCAGTTTCAACACGTAGGCGATGTGGACCAAGACCAACTGCAGTCGCACCAGCCTCGACAATCATTCTCAACTCTGTCTCAGTGAAGTCTGAAATGGAGTAAGGTCAACAACAAATGAGATATCCAGGATGTTCATCCTGAAGAAAGTACAACCAACAATAACTGAAATTCTTGAAACTAGGTAATTTTCAAGCACACGAAAGAAGCAACGCATCAAATTGATAAAGCTAAGACTATTAAACTAATGACAGGTCACTGAATGGCCTTCTCATATGAACTTAAACACAAAAGCTTAGTGCCAATTCCATATATCTGAATGGATAAAAATGACAATCATCATGCATGTATGCACTATTCAGCAAGATAATAAAACTAATTCCACCACTGCTGTACTAGATTATGTCCCATTACATTACAAAGACTATTGCTTCTTGTCAAAAGCAAAGAAGTGTAGGAAAACGAACACAAAGACCCAAAGTGATGGCTATCCCAGAGATCCATTCGCAGTTTATGTTATCTAAAGTGATTGCTGTCCTAGTGATCCACTTGCAGTTTATATTATCTGAACAAGTAAATGTTAACCAATGCTACACCACAAGTATCTGCCATAATAACTAGATTGTGGACAGGATACAGTTTTAGAATCTAATGCAAACACATTTCAACATTCCTAATAAATATGTAAAAAACTAAACAAACAAGTTCAACTCCTGATTACTGCAGTGTTTTCAACACTGGTGAAACTTTCACTCATCACTTTGGCGTCAGATAGGAAGACTATCTAAAATGTCTAAGTGAGCAAGGTTATGTAAAAGAGTTGTTACATAACACCGCCACTTTGCCAGTTTGGGGGGATGGGGTTGGAGATAAAACTAAATTTTCTCAAAAAAACTTTCCCTGAGAGAGGGAGAGAGGCATGTAAAGAGCACTGACCTCCTTCAGGTCCAATTATCATTAGCCCAGTTGACTCTTTTCTTAAGGTACTCAAAGCACCAAAAACAGGAGTAGCCTCCGCAACAGCTACGAATGATAGTTTTGATTGACGAACCTAAAGCATGGTTTAAGATAAGATGTAAGTTCAGAAAGACCATACTTACAAGGCTTATGTGTCAAAATTTGAGAGATAATAACATCATAACCAAAGCATAGATAAGTATGGTTTAAAAGGAACAGAAAAATTTGACTTACAAGGGGCAAAACTCCACCAATCTTCACAGGAGAGTTCAAAGTCATTTCATGCAGCCTTTGACCTATTTACCAGAGCACCATTTTGGGAAAAACAAAAATATCATGACAAAGAGACTGATGATAATACTTCACACAAATTAAGTTAATGCCATCTTAAGTTAGCCAACTACATTCAAAGCGCATGGTTAAACTACAATGGTGGTACCAAAAAGGTTATGGTGAAACGTCAATTACATTGTTTCGATGCAGCAAGAATAACACGTTCTAATCTGTCAAATCGGTTATCTGAAATGGATGGAGAACGCTCAGTCAACAAAGGCGTCACACTGCTAGCTCCCAGTTCCTGAGACATGACAAAGGAGAATAAGCATGTAATTTTAAGCAACTTAAATTGATAGAGAGATATTACCCACATGACTGATCATTGATCTAGACATACTGTGCATTTCTCTACAAGCCAATCAGCTCGACCTCCCTTTAAAGTTCCTAAAATCCAAAGAAAGATTAAAGCAAGTCACTTGACATTATGGCAGGAATGATTTCTCATAGACACAGGTGCTTTAGGTGTTCTTAAGGACCCACCAAAAGCAGCAAAGACATGCCATTGTGGGGCCAGAGGAGATACTAACTTTGCCTTCTCCGCTGCCACAAAATCAACTCCTGTGCGATCAATATTCTGTATGTGTCCTTCAACAAGACCCCCTTTGCCATCAAAGAGCTCTATCCTTGAAAATGAATGAAAGGAAACCAGCAATATATACAACAGGTCAGCCAACTTGCAAGAAAAATAATGATCAATTTAACTGTGAGCATCACAAAAGCCACAGAGTAAGGTTTAACACTTCAACCGATCGGCTTTGCTTAAAATTCTAGAAATATTCCAGGCAAGGCTTAAACTCTAATATTTCTCCACATAGTTATGTTCCTACCAATAATATTCAACTTTTCAACTCCTTCAGTCAAATGAAATTCTTAAACTGATAATAAGCATACTCAAGAGGAAAACACATTATTGATGTAAGACTTGCAATTGGATAATGCAAACGAGGGAGCAAAGAAATGTGGAAGAAAAGATGAAACTTCATGAGCTATACAAGATAAAATGTAAGAATAGCTAAAATCCTGCATCATTAACATGTTTCCTACTGGGTATTTCTCAAAACTCAATAAGAATAATGATACATACAACTTTTGGTACATTTTTCTGCAACGGTTAAATTGGAAATGGAAGAAGCTGAAATGAAAACATCCTCGAGATCAAAACCTCAAAGAAAGTATAAAGCAAACCACGACTTTGTTGTACGAATAACAGGGTATCCAATTACGCTTGGAAGAGTCAAGTAAATAAAGCAGCTGACATGAAACACATTCGGCATGTGGAAGTAAATGCTAAACTCAAAAAATTCACTCTCGTGAAGCAAAGATTGAATTCACGTAAGCACAAAGTTGACCAAGTATTAGGCTGGTACGGAGAATACCTGTCGTTGATGTTTAATCGGAGGACTTTTGTCATATGCCAGAACTCGTCGCCTTGAACACGGACAATTCCACCCCTGGAAGCGGGGAGGGTTTCGGAGTAGAACCGGGGGAGACGGCCGCGAGACTGACTGGTGTAATCGGAAGAAGATGAAGAAGAGAAAGCTCGGGGTCGGAGAGAAAAGGTGATTGCCTTTTGCCGGGAAGATGGAGATAGCTTCGCTAGTAGGTTTACCAGACAAGGTCTCCAAACTAGGGTTTGCATTTAGGAATTTGTCGGGAATATTAAACACACAGTTGCTTTAATACGTCCGACGTTCTGGACTGTGATTTTTGTGAGCTTGATGATGATGACAAGAGCAAATAAATAAATATACTAGTACAGTAGGAGTATAAATTCGCCCAACATTCGACTATACCATAGTTAAATTTTACTGCTTAGGCTCATAGGATTTTATGATGGCTATTAGTAGTATCTCAACCACAGCAAAACAGAGTATGGATGTAGCGGAGCTACAATTTTCTAGATATCAAATTTGAAGTTTAAAAAGTCGGAATTTGTAAAATTTACAAACATTTGTAAGAGTAGCGTAAATTTTGCCAGAGCTTAGTTTGTTTGGACAAGAAATCACAGCTTCGAAGACGATCTAAATCTGGATTTCATGGTCGGATATTAACAGACCAGACTAATTACATGGTACTACCTCAAATTCATTCCATGGATAATTTTTTACATTCATTTGGTTGCCTAAACAGGAAATTGCATTTTATGTCCAGAACTAGCATGTCTGCCTAATAAAAGAACAACCTCGTTCTGCTACTACAGCCGGTCGGTCAGTTCCGCAGGGTCGCAGCCATTGTCAAAAGTCAGGAACACAAAAGGGACTTCCCAGTCTTCCCCAAAATATCAAAATACACCTTTGCGACCTTATCACAAACACCTAATGGGACTTCCCAGCTTTCCACAAAAATTCTTGTACATCCCTTTGAGACGTTATCACAAGCGCCTCGAAGACCAAACTAGCAGGACCCTTCAGGATTTTCATCAGCTCTACCATCACCTTCAAACCCGCCACCCATCTCACACACCCTCTCCCACATGCTCTTCTCCACAGGCACCACCGACAACCTCGGCTGCCTGAACAGGCCACATCCTTGCAGTCCACTCTCTTTCTTCATTTCCCCCAAGTCCACCGGCCTCCGCATTTCGCCAACCGCCTTCACATCCACCGCACTATCACCGCTATCATCAGCGTACCATTCACGGACAACAGAGACCACACCCACCACGCGGCGGGCTTTGGAGCCGGAATGGTAGAAAAAGCAGAGATCTCCAGTTCTCATGGACTTCATATTCTTCTGGGCTTGCTTGTTCTTGACGCCGTCCCATTTGGATACACCACCATTGGCTGCTTGGTCCTCCCATGACCACTCCCCTGGCTCCGTTTTTAGCAGCCAGTATTGTTTTTCTTTACCCATTTCTGTGCTGTGAAAACTTTGTAGAATTTGAATTTCTCAGGATAGGGGCTGGGAATTTTCAGGGTTGGATTCAGGAAAAGGGTGATTGGACCTAAAGCACTAGCTTTACTACTGGTATTTGTTATGGCGGGAAATCGGCGACGGCCCCGCATTTTGATTGATTGATTGATTCCTTCCGCTTCTTAATTTTAATACTCCCTGTTCACTTTGAGAGTCCTATTCCTTTTTCTACACAATTTAAGAAAAAATCGTTAAATTTGTTGAAAAAGTAAATTTAAATTACTATTTTTCTAAAATACCCTCACATTAAATATGGTACAACTTTATGGGAATTTGAATTGATGGTAAAAAAAGAATCAACTCTCATTAAATGGGATAAGTTTATAGTAACAACTACTTACATCGAATAAGGGTATTTTAGGAAAATTAAAATACAACTACATTCTTCAATTGGAAAGTGGACTACAATTTGGGACAGATGAAAAAGGAATACAGGACTATCAAAGTGGGACGGAGAGAGTAGATAATATATATAATTGGTTGAAATCGATTAAGTTCTAAGCTTAGTTACCAAAATTTGATGATAATTAGATTGATTAGATATTTCATACTTTAGTGCTGTAAATCCAGAAAATATTTAAATAAAGGATTAATCACACTTTGCTCCTCTGAACTTTGGGTGTAGTTACACTTTACTACCCTCAACTTTTAAAATATACACTTTACCCCATAAAAAACTAGTCAAAGTTAGGAATGCCAAAAAAAAGTGAGTGCAAATTATTGTCCTTTTATTTTTGAGATTATAACTCATTTTATTGCTAAAAGATATACATCTTCTCTGTAATATCTACTGTACAAAAAAAAATATCAAACTAATAAAGCTAAAAAAAAGGTTTACATTTAGTTTATTATTCTTAATATTTTTCCTATTGGATACTTTAAATATAACAAGGATTAGGGGTGCAAACGAATCGAATCGAGCCGAACTTTGGCCTAGTCAAGTCGAGCCTCCAGTTAATTTTGTGAAGTTCGAACTCGAGCTCAAAATGTCAAGCTCGAGCTCGAGCTTGACTCAAATTCGAGTCGAGCTCGAGCTTAAAAAATAAAAATAATAAAAATAATTTTTTTTAAAAAAAATAAAAAATAATTATTTATTTTTAACAATGAATAAAATAATAATTTTTTAATAAATAATAAAATATTAGGGATATATGTGTAATTTTACTATTAAAATAAAAAAATATATATAATTGAACTCGCGAACCGCTTGCGAGCCAACGAGCTTAATGTTTTTGAGCTCGAACTCGAGTTCGAATTCGACTTAATTATCTCGAGCTCGATATTGACCGAGCTCGTACTCGAGCCGCTCGCGATCGACTCGCAAGCGGGTCGATTCGTGAACACCCCTAACAAGGATAAATAACTCAATGAAAACAATAAATACATTTAGCAAAATTTTGGAAAAAAGGGTACTGTTAAACTTGTTATTTTATTAATTTTTTATTATTTTAGCTTATGTAAACTGTTACAATAATGTTATCATCATTTATTTTTTTAAACTAGTCGAAAATTAAATACTTAACCCAATTAGTTAAAAAGGGCTGATATGCCTTATTTTTAAATTTAGAGGAGGCAAAATATATATTAATGTTATGCGTTCTCCTTTGGCTACTGTATTTATAATTGCTTAGGATATTATCATGAACTCAGAGATGTCTCATTTGAGGCTGTCATGCCTCAACCAATTATAGGATGACATCTGCACACGATGATTTGTCTACTAGGCAGATTCTAGTTGTGGTTCAAATACATGGAATAATTCCCACCTCGTGTAGAAAAATCGCAAATATATCAAAAAAATGAAGTGAAAACTGTGGTATTTTCTCGTATGCTAGGAGAGCAGGCATCACACTCATTGCAGAGAGTGCAATCAGAGATTCAGAAGTGTGAGGGGGGGAGGTTCTAAATTTCTACTAGGGGTGGCAATTTTCGACACGACACGAACCTAACACGAAATTAATGGATTTGGGTTGAGGTTTCGGGAATTCGGGTCAGAATCGGGTTGGACCCGATGAACCCGAAAAGAAAACAGGTCAATTTCGGGTCAACCCGTGGTGACCTGATATGACCCGATATGACCCGTTTACGAATTAAAAATAATTTAATAAACATAAAAATAATTTTATCTAACTAAACTAAGTTATTCTTTTTTTCAAAGGCATTAATTACTTAATTCTAAATGAATTTATTTAATTTGTGTGAAGTTGAAATTATTATATTTGGACAAATAATATATTATATTATTTTTTACTTTTATACTGTTTTAATTTATTTTATATTTTGTTTGAGATAAAACACTTTTACGGTGTTTAATTTATTTTAGATTTGGTTTGGAATTATTTATTTAAATTTTTATTACTTGATTATGTAATTAGTTTTGTGAGAAATTGATTTTATTAGAAATTACAGTGATAAATTAATAAATTAAAATTAAGTTTCGGGTCATTTCGGGTCGACCCGCCAACCCGCCAACCTGAAATTTTCGGGTTCGGGTCAGCATACCTGACCCGTCACGGGTTGGCGGGTCGGGTTCGGGTCAACAGATTTTCTGACGGGTTGACCCGAACCCGACCCGCCAACCTGATTTAGACCCGAATTGCCACCCCTAATTTCTACTAGGAACTAAATATGAGGCCAAGATCTTTTCTTTTCTAATGGTCATAATTTTTAGGTCAGGATTTGGCGTGACTCAGATATGCAGGTTAACCGTACAAGATTAGATGGCTGGCAAGGTCAAGTTGCCATTACCTCACCAATTTGAGCCAAGTAGACGAGTTGGAGCCCATCTTCTTGCTACGGATTTTTTTGAGAAAAATGCAGTTTTGGTACCTAAACTATGACGCAGGAGCGGTTTTAGTCCCCAAATTTTGGACGAAAGCAAATGTGGTACCCAATCTTTCAAATTTTGAGCACATTAAGTACCTTTGACGATTTTTTCTCAAATTGCCATTGGAAAAAGTCATGTGACAGTCACATGTCCGGCCACCATTGTATGAAAAATAGCCAAAAAAATGTCAAATGCCATTCTAATACTAAATATTAAATTTAAGGACTAATAACGTAATAAACAAAAAATCCAAGGACCCAAGGACTAAATAACATCATGAGTCAATTAAAAAATAAAAGAAGAAGACAACATCACATAGTGTCTGTTTCGTTCCTCTTGCTTCACTCTCAAATAGAAAACCCAATTACCATCCGGGTTACTTTGGGAAAGTTGGTATGAGGTACTTCCACAAGCTCTGTAACAAATTCCATTGCCTCATTGTCAACATCGAAAAGCTCTGGTCTTTGGTTCCTCAAGAAGCTAAGGACAAAACTACCAAGGACAACGCCCCTTTGATTGATATCACCCAGTTCGGATATTTTAAGGTTATGGGTAAGGGAGTTTTGCCTGAAAATCAACCTGTTGTTGTTAAGGTCAAGCTGGTTTCCAAGACTGTTGAGAAGAAGATTAAGGAAGCTGGTGGGGCTGTTGTTCTCACTGCTTAGGTTGTTTTGTTTCTTGGATTTACTAAGTCTGAGGTTCTATTAGTAGTATTATAATTTGGCACTTTTTTGGATTTACCCCTTTAATTTTGTTGTTATGAAATGAATGTTATTGGACCATTTTTATGGATGTTTTTAATGTTATTCAGCAGATTAATTTCTGCATTATGAATGGAAAAAAAAGAATTCTTTGGGATTGATGTACTGGAATTGGAGCTCATTTGTGACTTGATTATGTACTGGAATTAGTCAAGTACAAGCCTTGTTCAAGCATGGATATTACGTGATTATGCTAAACAAAAGACCATGCCCTGTTTTAACATGGTTTTATACTAAGAGAAAACGCCGAACCCACTAGTTTTCCAGTGCACAGAAAATGGCTGCCTGCTTTAATTGTTTCGTGAGATGAAGTTATG